TCTTGAGCCTCTCACATGTTCCCTCTGATCACACTTCATCTATAAAGTCAGAAGCAATGTGATAAAAGTGATTCAACCATTCTACGTTGTTGGTACAAACTTTGAAACTTGATTTTCTCACTTTTCTTCAAAATTAAGTAATCTAGCAATTAGCTTGAGACTTGTACTTCTGATTGTCCAAAGCTCTCAAACTCTTTTGTTTATACATACACAAACCATTTTCCACAAAGACATGAATTTTGAAGCCCTCAAACACTTTGAAATCAGAACTTGCACCAAAAACCTCTATTACTTATCATTTCTGACCTTGAACTTCAAATACACAATCCACTCGTGCATTTTCACTTTTGATCAATCGCAAAGCTCCTATAACTCATATAGAAGCTATCCAAACCCTTACTACACAACTGTAACACCATTTACCATAACCTCCATAACCAAAAAACTGAGTCAGCATCTTGACTTCTCCAGGCCATTTCAGCCACTCTCCAACCAAGCTAATCATTCATTAGCTTCCTGGGACCTCAGTGGAGCTATTCTGATCATCACAACATCTTGAGAAGTGCTCATTTGCAGAACACAATTTCCAGTTTTGAGGTAAGTTGTCTCAACTTTGAACTCTTCATACAAGCGTTATTAATGTTTAATTTGTGAATAAAAATGTAGACATCATTGTTCTGAAGCTAACCATGTCTTTAGATTTCATTTATATTGCTTGAGTAGTTAGAATTTTGAATCTGAACATCCTGGAAAAATTAGGTCAAAATTTGGTACCATTCAAAATTCATGTTCATTCTTGAGAATTAGTTTAAGTTGTTTATATTTCTGGAATCGTGGTAAAATTTTACACAAGTTTCATATTTACTTTGTTGCAAATGATTGAGAAATGAACAAGTTACAGTTTGTCTGGCTGGAGGTTGAAGATGAAGTGTAAATCAGGGCGCATTTTGTATCATATATTTATTGTTTTGCTTATGTTAACGGATGTATAGCCAACCCAGTGGTAGAAGCGCGCACATGTAACCTTTGGGACCTGGGTTCTAGCCCTAGTGGTACCCTTTTGGATTTTTCCACATTTTTGCATTCTGACTTTCTTTTTTTTGCAGGCGCTGGGCCTCCTCGGGCCTTATTTTTTTTTGCTTGCTAATCCCCTTGTTTCATTTACACACCCCTGGCCCAGTTTTATTTTCTTTTTCTTATTTTTTTATTTATTTGTTTTCTTAATTATTTTTCTAATACTAAAAAATCATAAAAAAATACAAAAAATAATAGATTTACATTTTGACATAGTTTATTTATTTTTCTCACACAAAGAATTATTTTATTAATCATACTTTATTTATTTTACTAATTATCTTTGTAAATTTAATTAAAAATAGGTTTTAGTTATTTTCTTTTACACCCATTGAAATATATTATTTTAAAACAAAAAAAAAGACCAAAAATATTTTATAATACTATAATTTATTTTCAAGACAAAAATACCAAAAAAAAATACTTTTCTTATAAACTTAACTTCTTTTTAATCTTTTAATAGATTTAGAGTTTTATTTAAAATCTTTTCTTAGTAAATTTAGGTTTTACTTTTAATTAATTATTTTCTTCTAGCTAATTAGGTTAAAATCAAAACCCCTTTTCTCATGAAAAATCAAACAAATATCTATTTTCTTTGCATTTACATTCTTTCATATTTATCTATTTTTGTACATTTATTTATTCAATTCTTGTACCAATTCAATATGGTTGTAATAGATTAATTAAGTTTATTTTTCTTGCAATCCCCATTTACAATTTATACACCCCCTCCCACAAGTATTATAATAGCGTAGTAACTTTAAATTCCGTAACTTATCGCTTTATATATAACATGCTAGTAATTAGGGTTTGTATGGAAAGACTAAAACTAATACTTAGAAAACCCTAATTCAAGACAAAATCAAGCATGAAAGTAATACACTTGCACACAAGCACCCTTAGGGTAAAACCACTTGGTTGCCTTTACAAAATGGCCATATTACGCATGTGAGGTATCTTAGCAAAAACAAGCAAAATATAAGATTATAGTCCCTCGACGACGCTATCTAAGTTGCCTTTCAAATGATCTTAGTCCCTAAAAGAGAATGCTAAGATAACTTGCAACATTGCTAATCATGGTTATACGATGACCCACGCCCATCCCGTTTACATCCAAAGATAGGGTTACTTACCAAATCAATGGTAAGATAACAATGTCAAAGGAAGAGAAAATAAACAAGAAAGACTTTTGAGTAGGTAGAATGTTCCTAATTACTTGCTCAATTTCAAAACATCCTTGCTATTTTCAAAAACAAACACTTACACTTTCAAAACCTCTTATGAACTTGAAATCATTTTCAAAAGATCAAACATCTTTGTATACATTCTTACGAACGAGAATCATTACAAAGACTGCCTAAACAATGGACTCCTTACAAAATACTTTCAAAAACCACACAAAGCACAATTTCAAACAAAAACAAGTGATCTAGCAAGTAACAAAGAGCCCATGGAAAACCATGGATGAAAAGGGTGTTAACATCTTCCCTTTTCATAATCTACCCCCCGAACTCAAGAAACAATCTTAAAGGTCTTTCCTGTGCTTTTTTACCTTTACTTTTGGATAAAAGAAAAGTCGGTGACGACTCTTGCTAAACTGCAACATCTGCGATCAAACGCAAAACCTTTAAGTCAGTTCTCCCACCGTATCACAGAACTGACAACTCTGCTGGGGAAAATTCTAAAAGTGGGGTTACCTTAGGGTTAGACCACATTTACTTGCTTTCACTGTTTGACTTGTATGCTTTACATTATGGTTTTTTGTTTGGGTTTGAATCCTCTACCCGGATTTGGGATACCTTATAGGTAAGTAGCAATACATTGTGGAAACTGTGCGGGGTATACCGACATGGTCTAAGAAATAACTATGTTAATGCGATATATTTATGGGTACCGGTAGCCCTTGAGTTAATCAAGGAGAATACGGGGCCGCTGAGTGATGTCATGAAGCACTAATGAACTTTTAGAACCTTTACTTGACCAACTTTGGCTTTAGGACGTAGTGAGATGACCGTCTTTGGTGCAATCCGAAGTTGGTTGATACTTGATACTACACTCATTGAGGTTTGGTTTTTTGGGATATTTCGGTCACCATTAAAGAGGCTTGTGCTGAAACAATGACCAAGGAAACAAACCAGTGATATTGAGCTCCTTAGAACCCGGTTACTATTACTAGGACAAATTTGAGCCAACTAAACTTCAAGAGGGTACTTACCTATGAGACTCCATGCAAGCCTAAACCTAAGGACTTGTTTGCTTTGTTTGTGTATACATACTTGTACATAACAACATGAACATCATAACATCATATTCATTCACTAACCATTTCAAGGATTTCTGGGATTTATCTTTGTTCTTGTTTTGTAGGACATTGATTCTATTCGCAAGAAAACTATTCAAGTCAATCTTGTAAGGATCCCTCCACAACTTAAAGAGCTAGCTTCAAGAATTCCAGAAAATTCTCCATTCACCGAGAGACATGGTCGCCTATTCAAGGTTGGGCTCTATGTAACATCTGGATTCAGGGATAATGTCCGGGTATAAGCCCGGCTGACGCCTCTTCATCTTTCTCTATCGCCGACCACATATGCCTCCGACCGTACAACCCGACTCAGACATGAAGATCTCAAATCGAAATACTACCCGGTTAAGCATTTATTTGTCTTCATTGGCCTTTTATGCATATCTTGTCTTTTTGTCTCCCTTAGTCCAGACAATGGATCTATGTATGAATAATATATATAATATAAAACATATAACTACGATTGTTAAAATAAACCGTGAAAATATGTAAGCATTATTCACGACGACTTTTGGTATTAGCTCTGATGATAGGTATTTTTATTTTAATATATTTATAAGATTATAATGATAACTATCTTTATAACGAAAAAGAAGTAAAAACTGTTGGTGCTGAGAAGCGAAGCAAATAATATTTATTATATCACAACGATTGTTTTGCTGGACCGTGATAAAATGTATTGTAATAAAATATTAAAAAATTACGGTCACTGAATATCAGTTATTACTATGATTAATTAGGCGGTCGAAGTAATATGATTTCATCAAAAATATATTTTGTCGTAGTGTTGTCGGCCATGGTCCGATCAAATAGGTTATGATACTATATAAGAGTTTGATCTAACTTAACCCTACAAAATCGATTTGTAAAATGAAGACAGTTATTCTATATAAATTTTCTAGAAGTTTTATATCTAACCAAATTGAGATTTGTGATTTTTTTTCCGATATTAATAGATAGATGAAATGAGGACCTCCCAATATGTCATCTCTCTAGAAATGATATAGCATCTCATGGTCTATGTTCGAGTAACTCGTCTACAACATTGTTTTAGATCTAATGCAACCAATACATTTTGAAACAAATTTTCGTCTGTCACTAAAAATGATACTATTCTATTTTATATTATAAGTAAATTTCACTTTTTAGATTAATTGAATAATTAATGTATTTATTGTATATATAGATCAAATAAATTAATTATTAAATAAATTTAAAAAGAAATAATTTGCTTATAATATAAAACAAGGAATATCTCTCTAAAATAAGATGAATTTTATTGATTTTAGTCAAAATATAAGACCAAAATACACAAAGACAAATTAGTTAAACCCGTTGGAAGAGCAAAAATATTAATTAAAGCCAGAAGAGAACAACAACATACGAAAAGGGAAGCATGTGATTGAATGGTATATGCAACAGAATTACGAAAAACATAATCAAATCTAGAGAGGCATGATGTTGGTTCAAAGACAATGAAATGGAACCTTACAGATTCAATCCATCATAACACAGTGCTAACTGAGTACATCCTACCATATACACGATGATAAGACACACAACAATTAATACTGAAAGCAATGACAAGTTTAGTATCCTTATTAACGAATCACAAGATGATATTTCATTTTTTAAACACGTCTCCAGCAGCCTTTGTAGCATCAGTAACCGCAGCTTCAGTTTTAGCGACAGGGTCTGGTTTGGGAGTGGGAGTAACATAATCAACAGCCTTGGTAACGAAGTCTCCTACGGTCTTCTGAGCATCACCGGCAGCCTTTGCAACACCACTAAAAACACCTGGTTCTGGTTCAGGTTTGGAATGAACATGATCAGCAGCCTTGTCAACGTACTCTCCTACTGTCTTCTTAGCTTCCCCAGCAGCGGCGATAACCTTCTCAGTCTGTTCACCCGCAGCTGTCTTTGCTGATGCTGCTGTCTCATTTGCATTCTTCACAAGATCGCTATCGGTATTTCCGGTTAGTGATGCCATTGTTTTTAAGGAATGGTTGATGATAGCTTCTTTGAAGGCTTGTTCGGTTATTTATAATGTATGAGTGAGGTGGTGATATTACGCGATGAAGAATATCTAATGGAAATTTGTGGTTGGAGATTTTAATGTATCGTCGACATATGATACATAAAATAAGATAGAAGGGTAGGGAATATCGAATACGTTATACGTGTTTTTTTAACACTGTTTGCTTTCTATGTCGGCAAGGTACTTTCCTTTTACTACCACCACTCATTAAAGGGGGATTTTTTTAGATAACTATTGAAGACTGTTCTAAAAGGCCAGGTGTAATATCTAAAGGTTTTTGGCCCTATAAAATACGTGAGATGACCTTTCTAAAAAGAATCAGTTTCCTGTTAGTTACTGTATTTTAGAGCTTAACAATACCACGTCATATAAAAAGTTATCTCATGCTTAGAGTATTTACAATGGAGAGGATTGTTGTGTGATATTTTATGGATCCAAATTGCTATATTATATTTAAACAATTCATAAATTATTTTAATTATTTTTTTCTAATGATATTATAAATAAGTAATATATATTAAGTCTATATTATTAAATAATTTAGTTTGGATTTTTCGATTTTCTCTAATGTTTTTTTTCTTTCTTTTTTTTATAATTTTTGTTCTGGACTGGGCCCGGCTGGCCCGATAGCAATGATAAAGGCCCAATCCAATCGGACTTGCTAGGGGTCACGCCGACCTAAGGATCATAGCTATGCCCGATACACGTCATTGGACGACACCCCCGTCCTCGTATTGTCCAGCTTGACATCAGCTCGAGCGCTCCTTCGCCAGTGGACACGACCCACTACATCCTCAACGGAATTCCGAAAAGACCGCGTCTCTGTCCGCCCGCACTTCACGCAGAACATCCAGGGAGGGGACCACGTGCAGGTCTCCACTACGCACGTAGAACCTGGCAGTTCCTCCATTGGGCCAAACCTGCCCGACCCAATGAAGGAACCTTGGCCCAGCGCTGGGGGCTATAAATATCCTCTGTTTCCAGAGGGTCAGGTATTCAATCTATCACATATACTCACACTTTTGCCTGCTCGTGCTCTTACTTACTTCAGCATCGGAGTGCCTTGCAGGTACCCCCCCACCTCGTTCAAGAACTTCAGCTCGGAGCCAGCCGTGACGGTCCAAGTCTGATCAGGTTAGATCAGTGGCGCCGTCTGTGGGAAACTAGCTTCCCCGTCTTGCAAACTCAAAGACCAAAGCTCAAATTCAACTACCTGTCATGGCTGATCAAGCTCGCGATGAGCAGAACGTCCGCGTCGCCGACACCAACAACGGCACCGCGGATAAAAACGGACATCTTGATAACGCCGGCAACCCCGGCCATAACACCATTCCTGCGACAACTGCTCCCGGAAGTTCCACCTTTCGAGACAGAGCTACTGCATCATCTTCCTCGCTCCCACCACCACTCGAAGACGACCCGGCGGCGCTCGCGCACTACAGAGCCGCCCGGTTCCAGGAAGTCCCCGTCCCCTCCGGGGCGGATGCCACAACACAAGCGTTGTTCGCAGCAATTAATCAAACGAACTATCTCATCTTCGCCCAAGGAGAGAGACTAAAGGCGCTTGAAGACGAGCGAAGACCCCCGAGGAGGCATCAGAGACCACATACTCCCCCTCCTCGAGTGACTGAAGCTCGACACCCTTCTCCCCCGCGGAGACATTACAGGGAGACCTCTCGAAGCCCATCTCCCGGGCCAAAACAGAAATGGCCTTATCTAGAGAGGCAGCCCGTCATTCAGGCCGGAGAACCCATTCGTGACCCAGCGATACTAGAAAGAAGGCACTCCAGAGACAGACGTGTAAAATTCAACCACCGAGCATCCCGCTCGAGAGAGACTCAGCACGACCTGGACCATCGTGTCACACAGTATTACAGGTCCCCATCTCTGTCTCCGGAGAGAAGCGACGAGGATGACCCCCGCGGTCCCCTGTCGCAGGCTATTATGGAAGCACCCATCCCCCCGGGCATGGAGAAGCCCCCACACTTGAAGGAGTACGATGGAGTCGCGGACCCGGTCGACCACATAGACGGGTTCGAGGTTATGCTTCATTATCACAACGTCGGGGGCCCCATCAAGTGCCGTATATTCCCAACGACTCTCAGGAAGGCGGCAATGGACTGGTACAAAGGACTCGCCCCGGGCTCAATTACCTCGTGGCGGAACCTGAAGAACCAGTTCATCAGTTCCTTCACAGCTTCTCGGCGGCACCCGAAGACCGAGGCGGCTCTCGAGGCCATCATCCAAAGACAGGATGAAACCTTGAGGGAATTCATCAACCGTTTCAACCGGGAAACAATACAGGTCCCCTGTGCGGACCATATGAAAAGATATTTACTGGAGAGAGGGCTCCTCCCCGGCACGGAATTCAGAAAGGTTGTGGGTATCGAGCCACCTCGGACATTCGATGCCCTCCTCGAAAAGGCCCGAGCATACATGGACTACGAGGAGAGGGAAGCGGCCAACAGAGCCCGGGATTCCAGGACTCGTGGTCCCAACAGCAGCTCGCGCCAAGAAGCTCCTCCTCGACGAACCGGGGAGAAAAGGAAGGAAGACAGACCCCGGGAAGTCCGGGAACAAAGAGGACCTTCGGGGCGTTTCACCGAGTACACTTCGCTCATGGCTTCCCGCGAGCGCATTCTGGCGGAGTGTGCCAGCACTGATTTCAAGGACGGCGGTGTCAAACGTCCCCGACCTGCTCCCGCTAAGCCCGGAGCAGACAAAAATAAATATTGTCAGTACCATAGGAGCCATGGTCACCTGACTGAGGATTGCGTCCACCTCAAGGACGCCATTGAAACACTCATCAAGGGAGGGAGGCTCGCGCAGTACCGGCGAAGCGACGCTCCCCGTCGTGACGCCCAAGAAACCAGGGAGCCAGAAGAAGACGCCCGACCATCTGACGAGTCAGTGCCCATCCAAACTGCCTTCTCCGTGACCAGGCCCGAGGATTTCGACTTCCCCGAGCACCTGCAAGAGCCACTTACAATGTACAGCAGGTGGGAATACTTCCCCTCTGCCCTGGTCATCAACGGCGGCGGGTTCAACGACTTGACCATCAATTCAGCCAAGAGGAAGCTGGACGAACTGGTCGACGCGGCTCCCCCGCAAACAGTGACGTTCGAAAGGGTGAAGGGCAGGTCAGAGCCCATCATCTTCTACCTAGAAGAGCTCCCCGACGGAGCACCGAACGCGGTCATCCCCTTGCTGATAAGGGCAAGAATGGCCAATTTTGATGTACATCGCATCCTGGTCGACGAAGGGAGTTCCGTCGACGTCATGTACAGCCAACTGTTCCGAACCCTACAGCTGGACGACTCACATCTCTCGCTGTATGTAGGGTCGGACTTACAAGGTTTCAACGGCTCGACCTCCAAACCTTGGGGATATGTCGAGCTTCTGGTTACGTTCGGGGAAGGGACGACTACAAGACAAGTCAGAGTACGCTTCCTAGTCATCGACTGCCCGTCTCTATACAACTGCATCTTGGGGAGACCGACACTGGCAGAGCTGACGGCGGTACCCTCGACCGTCCACCTGAAGATGAAGTTCTACACCAAGAGGGCACGAGTAGCTACTATCCAAGGAGACCTAGCCGCTGCCCGCAGGTGCTTCAACGCCGCTTCTAAGGGACGTGATACTATCGACGTAGGGACCAGACCCGCCAAAAGGACAAGACAGGAGCCCGACAAGAAAGCATCCCCCGAGGAAGAAGTCCAGAAAGCTCCACCAAAGGTCGATTCTATAGCTCTGGACACTCGCTTCGACCAGGACGAGCCATCCAGCGGCGAGCAAATCCCACTCCGACCAATACCGGACGGGGATTTTGAACTCGTCCCCCTCGGCACAGATCCGACCAAGGGAGTGAAGATTGGCAAAGACCTCCCCGACTTGGCCAGGAAGCAAATCAAGGCCTGTTTGCGTGAGAATGCTGATCTGTTCGCCTGGAGCGCCGCGGAGATGCCTGGACTCGACCCTGAGGTCGCCTGTCACCACCCCACCATTGATCCAGCCGCTAGGGCCATATTACAACGTAGGCGTAGGCAGTCTCCAGAAAAAACGGAGGCTGCTGAGAAAGTTGTAAAAGACCTCCTAGAGGCATATTTTATTTCTGAAGCCCGGTATTCCACCTGGCTGTCAAATGTTGTACTCGTTAAAAAGAATAATGGAAAATGGAGGATGTGCGTTGATTATACCAATCTCAACCGGGCTTGCCCGAAAGATGCTTTTCCTTTGCCTAACATAGACATGCTGGTCGACAACTCGGCCGACTATAAAACGTTGTCGTTCATGGACGCCTACTCGGGCTATAACCAAATCCCGATGGCCCTGGGCGACAAACACTGCACGACATTCATGACCAGCTCGGGCAACTATTACTACAGCATAATGCCCTTCGGACTGAAAAATGCCAGGGCAACTTACCAGGGCATGATGAACAGAGTTTTCAACAAACAGATCGGCGACATGCTCGAGGTATATATGGACGACATGATCGTCAAGTCCCGAGCAGACACCGACCACGCAGCACACCTCAAGACAGTCTTTACCCAAGCAAGACAATGTAAAATGAGGTTCAACCCCGAGAAATGTATGTTCGGGGTTAAGGCAGGAAAATTCCTTGGATTCTATCTAACAGAACGGGGAATCGAAGCCAACCCCGACAAATGCCGGGCGTTCTCCGACCTCCCAACACCAACGTCGAAGAAGTCGATACAAATCATGAACGACATGCTCACGTCGCTATCTCGCTTCGTCGCGAGATCCGCTCAGCACGCCCTCCCCTTTTTCAAACTCCTTCGAAAGGAAGCAGCCTTCGAATGGAATGAGGAATGCGAGCAGGCACTACGCCACCTAAAGCAAAGTCTATCTCAGCCGCCCGTGCTATCTCGACCAGACGACGGGGAGCCATTGTATTTGTACTTGGCCGTTTCGAACGAAGCCATCAGCGC